CTTGAATATCACTTGCTAAATCACATTCCTCCCGTCCCGTCCCCCCCCGCCAATTCCTTGCTCCTGGAAAGTCTGTTGATATTCATTTAATTGTTTGCAAACTTCACTTTATTTTGTTTTTTATTAACTGTTGATGCTTAAAAATGAAACCCAGAGACGGTATAGATTGATTAGAGTCAATAACCGCTCCTATGCGCATACTAATTCTTCTTGCTCTAGCTTTTGTAACAGCATTAAAAGGATGCATTATAAATGAAATACACCTTGAAAATCATAGTGCTCATAACTAGTTCTGAATTACTGTTGTAGTTTAGGTAAATGATGTTACTAATTTTTCCACCACAGGGTATTTAAATCACATGCAGTGGTTATGGTTTTGTCCCATTTTGAAGGCTCAAGAAAGGTCTGATATTCTTGAATTGTTTCATTCTTTATGGGGAGATTGTGACAGGGACACTTGCCTCTTGTGAGTGTCTCCTGTTAGCTGGGTGTGATGCTGCAAGTTCTCCTGCGCCAGGCGCTGCCCGTAGGTTGTTGACCTTACTAGATGGGTCTTCAGTGGCTCAGCCCTCCAGCCAAGTCATGCAGTCTAAAACGGATGAACTCCTTCCGGGGTAGCAAAGAGTTCGACACACTGTCTGCCATCACCAGGGCCTTCACCCCATCTCTGGGCTCCTTTAAGTCCTGCCTTTCACTTCGGTTTTCCAACAGAGCTTGTCCTTCTCAGGCCTTAGACCACTTTGCTCATAGGCTGGTGGGAGTCCCTGGGCCCGGCCCCTGCCCCGAGTCCCAGCCCAGGGACCTTGCACACAGCAGCCATGTACTGCTTCCTTCAGTTTGCTGCTGCTGTTCCCTGGGCCTTTTCCCAGGTGGCTCCTTTCTCTTCACCCTGACTTCAGGTCTGAAGTTCTCAAATCCTCTTCCTCCTCCCTGCATGCAAGTACCTCCAGAACCTGTTTTCTCGTTTTCTTCCTGAGCTCTTGTGACCAGCAACAAGCACCCCTGAGCTTCTCAGGCCCTGCAGCTCCTTCTAGCAGAGCCTGCTGGGCCCTGATTGGCTGCATCTCTGCTGCCTCTCTAGGCAGGCCTCGAGGACTTACCTTCAGTGCTCCTTTCCTGAGGTAGGGTGTGGTAGGACCAGGAGAGTCTCCAGCAGGGGGCTATGATGGCCTGGTACACCCCATCACAGAGATATATAATGGGACACAGAATATGCATATTTATTCCTAGGTTTTACTCTTTCAGTATGCCCATGATTCCTAACAATTATTTGAACATAGATGGACAAAACAGTTAAGTTAATACGGATACAGCAAAGTTCCAGACCTCCAACAAAAACCTTTAGAAAGGCTGATAACAGAAAACTTAACAATACTGCCAAAAACCTGAGTGTCTTAACTTTCTCTAACACAGTAAAATTCCTTTGTATGAACATGCAATTAGGCTAAGTTTCTATACCCAGTTTTATGCCAAACCTTCTGTAAGGTTACCTAGTTTAACAAAAAAAGGAGACTTTTAAAATTAATTTTGAAATAATTTTTGCATCTTAGAGAACAGATGATAATGTCTGAATGATCTCCTGCAATGCTCCTCAATTTTAAGCATTCTGCAGAAAATCTCACCTCAGATATTTGTTTCAGTAAAATAATTGTTTTGATTAATTGATAATTGATATCTTAGGAATGATTAGGAACTATTTTAGGAATATTACTGTGCAATGTGTGCTTCAAACATAACTCATAACATTTTCATAAACAACTCTTTGCACTAATATGAATAATGGGCTATTTTGGAACTCGTAGGATCCTTACACAGCAACCCAAATGCAGATTCTATATTTAGTTCTGGATATGGTTTCTATCTCCATATTTTTTTGCCTTTTCAATCACTTTATTATATCACTTAGCTTTTAAATAATGGCAGGTTCCAGTTATTCAGCATTAGCAATTTCTCCCCAAATCAGGTTGTTTTCCTGAGAGAAATTTTCTTTCCCTGAAATTTCAAGTTTCTAGAATTCAGATTTTAAAAATGTTGGGTATGTTCTAGGAACTATTTGCACAGTCAAGGGCTTGCCTTTATTAGCGTGCCAAAAATCATAAGCCAATACCTCCGCGTGAAGAAAAAGAAATCCAAACAGATAAAAAACATTCATTCTACATAATTCTTAGTTTAGCTGGAATAATAAGAAAAGTTGCATCCATCCCATACAATAAGAAATGACACTGGAGGGTAGGATTTCATAACCCATTATGCTAGAACATACGTGCTGTAGTTAAAGACAGTAAACCAGTGGTGATTGTTCCCTTTTTTAGGATTCCTAACGTAATTAGTACTGAGAGATTGCTAATGAGACAGACATAATTTATTTGATGGAAAAAAACCATGAAAACCCTTTTATGAAAAAATGCACACTTGTTCTTCATTACAGAATGAAGGAAATGTGATGAACACTTTGAAGCACTAATTAACAATGCTGGGATTTATCTGAAATTTGAGAGAGACCATAGTGTTACCCTGTGGTGTAGACCTGTACTACAGACATTTTTCAACATTTATTATGCTATGTCTAGGTAAGAATAGATTTATGAGGCACTGCTAGGGTGTGGTTTGCCATCCATAGCTCTGTATTTCTAGGTTTTGCAACTGTTAACCAAATAATTGAAATTATTGGATATTTTTGCTTGAATGCTTTAAATTTTTTTTTAAATATACTGATACTTTTCAAAATGTCTTAAAAAATCTCTAACCTTCTACAGTCTAGATGGTGGGGTTTTCAAAAGTGTTTAGCATTGATATAACTCTGCTCTAACTGAAGTCAATGCCATTAACTTCCACAGGGGCAGAATTAGCCCAACACTCAGCACTTTTGAAAATGTCACTTGTAGTTTTTTGTTTAAAAGGAGCCTGAAGAATCTATGAGACTCAAGATCACCTTTCTTAAAGCATCCAGTTGAAATTAATTAAAATGGAAATGAATATTTATTTGAAAATTCTATTTTTACTCACAAATTACGTGCTGTAATTTTGTGAAAGATTATAGTGTATTCTTCATACAAAATAAAAAGACTGAATTCCTTCTATGACTGAAAATCTGAACCCAGCCTTAACTTTGCAATTCAGATGTATCCAGCACATATCTGGTACAACACGACACACAAGCTAGACTCATTTTAGCTTAAGAATCATTAAATAACATGACTGTCTCCTCTTTATAAGGAAATAACCATATCCCTGATAGAAAAAACTCCGAAGTCTGAAGGATAAGGAGTTTCTATAGCTTAGGATATTTTCATTACCAGTTAACATGACGCCTTATCAAGTTATTACTGTATTTTACAAGTATTTTAAATTGAACATTAACATTTTAAATGGACAAAAAAATTACATAGAAACAGAAGGGCTATCAAATGTTGCTGAAACAAAACAGTTAAAGGAAAGTGAAACCTCTTTGGCTTTCTTATGCTCTTATAAGGTCTTTAACTCCATAATATCAGCATGTAACTCATCTTTACATTCCGTAATAAATTGTGTCTGTTTACTTTTTACTCGGCAATTTGTGCTGATAAAAATGGAGCTCCTTTGTATGATGTGACCACAAGATACTGTGATTTATTAAATGTACAACCAGGTGTACTTACTTTCCATTTAGTGCATATAATGAAATGGATATTTGTAGGAACATACCATTTGTAAAATCACTTCACTAGATTGCAAATGGAACATTTTGTCATACATCAAGCAATTTCCCAGAACATCTTTTTCCATGACAGTATTACATATTACAAAAGAGATATGCAGTCGAAAATTTAGCTTCGCATTCTGATTTGATTGATTGTATGGTTACACAAAAGGCCAAGAGCCCTCTGATGCATACTGGACAACTAAATTTTTAAGCTGAGTCATAGAAATACACATCTAAGCGACTAGATTTAAGGCAATTAAATGCTTCTGGATTTATGAATCGAGTGATGATTTAGACAAATGTGTTCTATTTTAGACAATGGAAGTTGATTTTTTTAAACTAGATGCAAGAGAGTTTAAATTTTCATTGTTTAATTGCTCCAAAACAACTGATGCTTATTATGATATATTTAGAAGTGCATTGGCATACTGATAAGCATAATACATTTCCAGATGTAATTGGCAAAAGTTGGAACATCTGTAGCTGAGATTCTAGAGCTACAGTACATACACCATAGTCAACAGTTTAGCTGTTGGTTAAGGTAACATTTCAACAACGTTTCGCATAATTTTGCTGAATGTTTTATGTTTGTTTCACACATTGTGAATGCTAATGCTGTGTAAGTGTTATACGTGTTGAACACATTTTAACACATACAGCTGTTTAGTGTATTTCAAATTGCATTTAATCACAGAAACAAATGTCTATAATAGTATGCCTCTACATATATTCAAGTATCTACCAATACAATTATCATATTTCTATAAGATTATCTTTAAGTATAAAATATAAACTACTGTGGTACTGACAACAATAAACATCAGCAAGGAAGTGCTATATAACTAAAAAAACTAAATAATTCAAAATATCTAACACTACGTCAAACAAGGAACCAGAATACCAAAATACATGCTTACTTCTGGGTCCATTTTTGGAATTCTACAAGATCAAGTTTAAAATAGTTGTCAGTAGAATCCTAAAAATGTAACAAGATCAATAATAGAGCTTAATACAACAACATTCACATGCAGGAATCGAGGACTGCATCTGTAGATCAAATGTATCCCTAAATTGGATGTTTAGTTATTCTACATTTCTCACAATGCATCTGTGGGTGTATACAACTCATATTTAAGTGACAATAATCACAATCAAATGATCTAGATTTATATATTGACCAAATTAGTAATGCACAAAGAAAATTCTAATGGATATCCTGCAATGTTAGCATGCATTTTCCAGCCAAATAATTTAGCTTCAACTGCCACAGAGAAATATAATTTACTTCACCACATGCTATTTCCTTTCCAAAACATACCTGTTACGAGCTCTCTTATTTCTGCATCAATAGATTTTCTTAACAACCTCAAAAGGGCAGGTATCCCACCAACATTCTTCATTGCTATTTTATTTTCATCAGTCGACTTTCCATAAACAAGGTTTCTCAGTGCGCCACAAGCGTTCTTCTGAACTTCAAGGACTCTGTGATCCAAAAGGTCAACCAGATGCTTGATTCCTCCTAACCTACATACCTAGAAAATAATACTCAATATTAGTTCAAATTAATAGTTAAATAAGTTTCATTCTGTGCATAAAATGAAAAAAAGTATAAAGAAAATAAAAATTCTCTTTCTAGTCCAAGAAGAAATGTTGTTGTACATGGGGATTTATCAATATAACACTCATATTTTATTGCACAGCTAAGTGTTTAATGGCACTTCCATTATACACAACTATTTTTAGATATTTATAAAGCAATCATTATTGAAATCTTTACATACTGTTTGCAAGTTACAATCCATACCACAGTACATTCCACATCTAAGAATACCTCTATAAGGAATTCCAAGAGTACCACAGTAATGCTAGAGAAGCTAAATTATAGCGTTTTAATACCAGCTATATAACTTCATTTAAATGAGAGTTTTGGCATACAAAAGGTCCCTTTTTAGGAGCAAGATTTAGTTTACAAAAATGTATTAAATAAACAACTACATAAAATAATAACTATCGTAGGAAAACCTTCATACATGTTACTTAAAGAAAAACAAAAGGGAAAACTTAGGGTTAAATCTGGCTCAAAACAAGATTAATAGCATTGTTTACATAATAAATAATAAATTCTAATTAAAGCAATCTTTAAAAATCCCTCAGCACTGTTTGCAACGCAAATATTGCAGCATTGTATTAGCATATGAGAACCAGAAAATGAAATCTACAAGGAGCAAAAATGAAACTGACTAGCCTATTTTCTCTATTCAAGCTTTCCCTCATCAATTAGGACCTGAAACTGCTCCAACTGTCCTGAGGTACTTTCTTTACCATCTATAATAGGCTAACCAAATTCATAAAGTTGTACATGATCAGCAGTGCCTGGCAGATTGAAAGCCAGAACCAGAGGGAGGCCAGAGAACGCTCTTTCCTGCCAAAGAAGTCTATTCTTTTAACCTCCTTCTCATTAGATATACTGGCCTGTCACTCATCACCAGTGAGTCATGGGCCAGGTGAAAGAAAATGAATCCTGATCACTTAATGAGCACAAAATAACTCTTCTCTGTTCACTTGAACCCCAGAGCTATGGTGTCCAGCATCTGCCAGAGTGTGCTGGCTGATTCAAGGATGACCTTGTTAATTGGCAGTGCCACCCTGCTTGGGTCTGTGCTGTGCAGAATGTCCAGCAGTCTATATGGAGCCTCCTGGATATCTTCCAGAGGAATATGAAGGGTCTCCACCACAGATTTAACCAGGTCCTGGAAGGCACTGAGTCATCTGCACATGGTGGGTAAGCTTCACCCAGAGAGTATGACTCGTACCAGCTGGCATCCCAGGCAGACCTCCCTCAGCTGCTTGGTCATCCACAGAAATGACTTACAAATACTGAACCTGGAAGGAATATGGGCTTCCCCCAGGCGGAACACAGGGAGTGTGTGGGGTGTGAGCAGGGATCACTAGCATACACAGGGGGGAGTTTCAGTGAGAGCATCACACCCCAAAATATACTAATCTAAACTAACTAAACTATAAACTAACTATTCCTAACTATTTACAGGAAAAAGGCTGAAGAGTTCCGGTGAGCACTGAGGCTCCATCCCAGACCACAAGTGGTGACAAAGAACTGAGATGGCGACAGTGCAGCAGCCCCTCTATGCCCACAGTGCATAGCACAAGGAGAGTAGGGGTGCATGTGTGATCCAAACAGATACTGCTAGGAAGAATTCTCCAGAACTGAGTGCATGGAGCACATGAGCTACCTAAAATGCACTACATATAAAGTGCACTCCACATAGGGACAAACACTCAAAGAAGATTGAAAATTTAATGAAAAGTTTTAGTATGTCGATTTATCCCAAGAGAATAACACAATTCTGAAAAATACACAGTATTAGGATCTAGCCAAATCTATCAAATGGAAATTTTTAAGATGGAATCTAATATGTCAAATTATCTAAGGGTGGTGCTTAGATTGCAAGATGATAGGTGCCTTTATATATATATAATGTTCCATCTTTAAAAAAAAAAAATATATATATATATATATATATACACACACACACACACACACACACACACACACACAC